AGACAGTCCCCCAAAGTCTTAACTCATTTCAGCATTAACCCAGGGGTCCACAGTCCAAAGTCTCATCTGAGACAAGGCATGTCCCTTCTACCTATAAGCCTGTAAAATCAAAAGCAAGTTAGTTACTTACAGGCATTGGGTAAATACAGCCATTCCAAATGGGAGAAATTGGCCAAAACACTAGGAATACAGGGCCCATGCAAGCCTAAAATCCACTGGGGCAGTGAAATCTTAAAGCTCCAAAATGATCTCCTTTGATTCCATGCCTCACATCCAGGTCACGCTGATGCAAGCAAGAGATGGGTTCCCATAGTGTTGAGCAACTCTGCCCCTGTCACTTTGCGGGGCACAGCCTCCCTCCTAGCTGCTTTCATGGGCTGCATTGTCTCTGGATTTTCCAGGTGCATGGTGCAAGCTCTAGGTCAATCTACTATTCTGGGGTCTGGAGAACAGTGGCCCTCTTCTTAAAGCTCCACTAGGCAGTGCCGCAATAGGGACTCTGTGTGGGGGCTCTGATCCCACATTTTCCTTCCCCATCGACCTAGCAGAGGTTCTCCATCAGGGCCCTACCCCTGCAGCAAACTTTTACCTGGGCATCCAGGTGTTTCTATATATCTTTTAAATCTAGGCGGAGGTTCCCAAACCTCAGTTCATAACTTCTATGCACCCGCGGGCTCAATACCATGTGGAAGCTGCCAAGGCTTGGGGCTTTCACCCTCTGAAGCCACAGCCTGAGCTCTATATTGGCTCTTTTCAGGCATAGCTGGAACAGCTGGGACATATGGTACCAAGTCTCTAAGCTGCACACAGCACTGGGCCCAGGCCACGAAACCACTTTTTTCCCCCCAGGCCTCCTGGCCTGTGATGGAGAAGCTCCTATGAAGGTCTCTGACATGGGCTGGAGACATTTTCTTCATGGTTTTGGGGATTAACATTTGGCTTCTCACTAATTATGCAAATTTCTGCAGCTCGCTTGAATTTCTCCTCAAAAATGGGTTTTTCTTTCTACTGCATCATCAGGCTATAAATTTTCTGAACTTTCATATTCTGTTTTCCATTTAAAATGGAATGCCTTTAACAGCATCCAAGTCACCTTTTGAATGCTTCGCTGCTTAGAAATTTCTTCTGCCAGATATGCTAAATAATCTCTAGCGTAAACCATCCCTTCTTCTAGTGGGGTATTTAGGATGATTATACTTCAACTTATTTAACCAATGTTTACTGGGCACCTGCTATGTAACTGGTACCATGCTTCGGGTTTTGAAATATCATTTCTACAAGTAATCACGCATATTAAAGTTCAGGTTGCAAATCAAAACTAAACTTCTTCCAGAAGCTCTACACCAATCTGTTTACTTTTCCATGAGATTCCACCTTCTGCCATCAAATTCTTCATCTACAATGATACCCTTTCGAAAAGTACTGTTTTTGTCTTGTTGGTTTTGTACTCAGAAGCTGTCAATGGCTCCTTGTTGCTGACTTGGTAAGGATAAACAACTTAAAGGTTATAATTCAGGCTTTCCTCAATCTAGGGTCTCTCCTCTGTAGAAAGAAAACAAACAAAAAACCAAAACTCCCTCCAGTCAGATATCTTATGCTAGGTAAATTTATATACTTGCCTTTAGGTTTTGTATGTGACAAAAATCCTGGAACATTCCAACTTTTCCTTCATTTTTGTTTTTCTCAATTATACTTGTCTATCTAGAATTTCATAAAATCACTCTAGATTATTATTATTTTCTGTACTCAAAGTACAGTAAATCTCTAGTTTCTCATTTCTAGGGATCCTTATAGCTCAGATACTCCAGTACTTTATGATACTACACATTCTCTCTCTCTCTACTATGTATTACCCAAATGATAATTGCTATGACAATTCTCATTTGTATAATTTAATTGAAATTATTACTTCTTGTGACACTCCTTTTGATTTTGTCTTGAACTACTTTTGCTACTATTTAATGGTTTACTTTCCACGTGTACCTAGATGTTCAACAAATAATCATAAATTTGCTTTATTGCAGACTCCGTAGCTGTTAGAGGTAGACTCATGACACCATTCTCTCTTTTCATAGAAAAGCTTGCTGAGGCCAGAGTACTAGTTGAGGGATATTGGCCTCCTGCTACGTTACCATTTATAGGACATATAGAAAAAACCAACCTCATCAGTGGTCAGGTGAATTATAGTCCTGAAACTTCATGAGATCTCTTGTGCTAGTGGGGCTCCAGGTCTGTTTTTACTTCTATTATACAGGAGAGTTTAACAAGCTCATAACCAAGGACGCTTATAGCTCAAACATCGTAGTACTTAATGATTCTATACATTCTCCCTCTATCATAGTTGCTGTGACAATTCTCATTTGTATAATTTAATTCACATTATTACTCTTTATGAGGCTCCTTTTGATTTTGCCTTGAACTGCTTTAGTTATATTTTGCTACTATTTATTTCAAGGTTTACTTTCTTCATGTACCTAGATGCTCAACAAACAGTTATTAAACTTGCTTTATTACAGACTTTGTAGGTGGTGGATGCACATTTGAGCAACATAACGTCCCAGCAAATCACTGTGATGACATAAACTCCCTCCCATCAAGGTGCAAGAGTTTCCAAGTTTCAGAATCTTAGCTATAGAAGCAATCCTACAGATTATTTATTGAAATTTTTGTTTTCCAAGTGAGAGCACTTATTGGTGTCCAAGAGTTAGTAGCCAATTTATTTTTGCATTTTTTTTTTCTTTTTAAAATGATGACTTTATTTTAAAGTGTAAATTCCTGGGATAATTCAGAAGTTAATTAACTCACAAAAAGTTTTTAGCAATATTACATCTTTTTCATTCTTGGAAGAAGAACTGAAAGAGTGTAAAAAGATGGAATGAAATAGAAAATGGTAGCTGGAGCGTTCAAAGAAGAACCACTTTTATCATATTGAAGCTAAAATATAAATTGTAGATTTTTGCATATATATGATGAGCAGAAACACATAGCTGAAGAAAGAAGTGTGATAAATAAATAAATGAAGTATTAATAATTCAGTCTTAGAAAGTCAGACATGTTAAAAGCATTGAATCTATTTAGACTTTCATGTCATTCCCAAAGTCAAATTTTTAACCTGTACTAGCACTTGAAGACAAAAAACAGACCAAAAAAAAAAAAATCACAAAGTGTTACAATTGACATATGCAGTGAATTGCTTCCCTTAAAAATAACATTTCTTTCTTACTTTTTTTCTTTTTTTTTTTTTAGTTCTATCACTACTACAAAAGTTAGTCTTAAACTGGCAACTAAATGTAATCTGGTAACAATTTAATCTTTTTTTATATAAAGGAAAATTTAAAAGTAATTCTTTTCCCCTAACAGACCATCCATTTTCCTCTAAGTGGCTTTAAATTTAATATCTATTTTAGCAATAAACAGCACATGAAGTAAACAGCTCAAGGCATGTGTTGTTAGGCCAAGCATCTGATTAATTGGATGCAGCTGATCTGAAACTGCTGGAAGCTTCAATTTTCAAACCTCACAGTTCTTTGATTATTTCAGTCTTGTACTTTTATCACCTGTCTACAGATTTTTAACAACAATGTTCATCTCAGTAACATTAAAGTACTCTGCCATGAGGTGGGTGTTTTCTTCCCTACATTTAAAAAATATATAAATCATGAAATAATAGTTAGAAGTTTAAATCTCAGCTCCTGCTGTGAACAAAGCTTTATGAACTGAGTCCAGATGATCTCCAGTAGAGCCTAGCAGCCCAGAAGATTTTGTCGTCTTGTAATTGTACTAGGAGATTTTAAAGTATAAGTTCTAAAAAAAAAAAAAAAGGTCTTGCATCACCTCCTTAACTTCTTGCTGTCTAGCTATGAGCCTGAATTTAAAGTACGGTGCAGAAAGGTCAAATTCCTAGGGGCAGGATGATTGCTGCTTGCCAGAAGAGTTGAACTACTCTTAGAAAGACATCAAAAGAACAATTACACAGCTGTCATCTCTCTCAGTGCCTCATATAGGCATTAGGCTCTTTAATGAGATCTGTACCTCAAACAAAAAGGAAAGCACTTGCACGCGACACCTTTCAGAAGTCTGTCCTTACCTAAATAAGCGGTATAAAGACAAGGCTTTCTGTGTGTAACCAAATGTGTGTGTGTGCGTGCGTGCACATATGTTTATAGTTAATCATAATCATTTGCAAATGACAAGATGACTATTGCACTCAATTGCAGATTCTAATTTTTCAAGCGGTATGATTATAATGTTTATTATAGCATATCATAGATGCTATAGCATGACATGCATGACACCCAGCATGTCATACATGATTTCCTACTTGCACCTAAACTTCTCACGCATTAGGCTTCAGGAGAAATTGTACTGTCATGTGGTATATGTGAAGTAGGCTCATGATACAATCCTCTCTTTTCACGGAGAAGCTTCCTGGGGCTGAGGTGCCAGTTGAGGATACTGGCTTCCTGACATTTTACCATTTACAGGACAGACAGGAAAATCCAGCCTCATCAGTGGTCAGATTAACTGGCACCAAGAAGACTAGATATAGGGTATCAGCTGTTCATAGAAGTCATCTAGAAATCTTAGCTGTCAAACACCTGGAGATCATGGGCTAGGAGGAATGTCAGTGGGTGGGAGCCTGCTTCTTCTGTGAAACTGGAATTGCATGCACAGTCCCTTCTACTGGGAAGGTGTGAGAGGTCAGTCCCACCTAATTTATTGCCCAGATAGCCCAGGGTGACTTAGACAATTCTGCTCATTGCTCTTAGAATGTTTAATGAGGGCTAAGAGCTGGGATAAATTTTCTGTACAATTTATCTCATTTAATCTTTATAACTACCCTGTAAAGTAGTATTCCAATCTCCATTTTCCAGTCATGAAAGCACATGTAATAAGACTAATTCTACCATGAGTACACAGGACATAAGCCGTAGAACCAGTTTTTGTAGTCAGGCTTTCTAAACACGGTAGGTATATAGACATAGCTCATGAAGAGAAGCTCATTTGCAAAACATTGGCCACATTTATTTATTTTTACAATGTCAACGTATTATTGATAGCATTAAAATGTTACAGAAGGCAACAGACACATTGTACTGATGTGATATCAAGAAGCATTGCTAGCTATGCCACCAAAATTTATCTAAAATAAGGAAATTATAGTACCTAACACATACTAGTTTTCTCTTCCTTGTTTCTAATTAGCAAGTACCAGGAGGCAGGCTGGGTTAGACAGCATGACCAAGAGTACATTTTGGATAGTTCAGGATAAAATTATGACATAGGTGGTTTGTCACCGGTTTCAGGTTCCTCGTGTTGAGTTAATGTTCTCTCGCTTTCCCTGTCTAGCCAAGATCCCACACTATCTTGACTTGTCATCTCCAGAAATGTCTTAACACTTCAAAGGTCCCTTAAAATGCCCTTAAAACTTACCTCCTCCAGGACTAACTAGCACCACTCTTTTCAATATTAACACACATATGAATCATCTGGGGATCTTGTCCAAAAGCAGACTTCTGGAGGTACAGGGTAAGGCCCTCTGCACTTTTTACAAACTTCGGGGTGATACTGATGCCGCAGTTCCATGCACCACACTTGCCATAGTGAGGCACCTGGGGACATTTAGAACTGCACATTTTAAATAGAATTGTACTAGGTTAGGTTGGTAATAGATGTTAGAAGAGTTAGGCAAACAATATTTAATTTTAAATGCTTGGAAACTAAGATCTTGAACAAATATGAGAAAGAAATGAGAATATATCTGTAAAACTCTTTTTGAATCTTTCAAATTTCTTTGAGTTATGTTCTTTCTTCCTTCAAATGTAAATCTTTCCTTTCTCAGGAGTTTTTGTCACAAATTTAACAGGAAATAAAACCCTTTTAAGAAAGTCTCTTTGCCTCTGCACATCTGAATAGTCTCTGTAGAAAATGATGGTAAGTTTGGTAAAATTACAAACTGTTTGTTGCAAAACTCCATTATTCAAAAAAAAAAAGTCTGAATAACTATGTTACTTGAATTCAATTATATCTATTGGAAACATAAAATGGTATTTCTCTTTTGAAGAATTATTATATTTACTAATTTATTCAGACTTGTTCAATTGAATAAATAAATATTATTCTCTGCTTACATGAAATTAAAAAAAAAATAGAAGGGCCAGGTACAGTGGCTCAGGCCTGTAATCCCAGCACTTTGGGAGGCCGAGGCAGTCCAACCACTTGAGGTCAGGGGTTTGAGATCAGCCTGGCCAACATGGTGAAATCCATCTGTATTAAAAATATAAAAACTTAGCCAGGTGTGGTGGAGGACACCTGTAATCCCAGCTATTCGGGAGGCCGAGGCAGGAGAATTGCTTAAACCTGGGAGGCAGAGGTTGCAGTGAACCAAGATCCTGCCATTGCGCTTGCACCTGGGTAACAGAGCCAGACTTTATCTGGAAAAAAAAAAAAAAAAGATGTTTCCTTTTGGGAGTAAATGGCCATTGATGTTACAGTAGAAATAAAATAGTTCCACACAATGTTCACCTTTGTTGATCTTTGGAGAGTGTGTGGTACCTCTAATAGGAACTAAAGAACTTGCTTCCCTTTTTGATTTTTTTTTGAGAAAGGGTCTTGTTCTGCCACCCCCGCCCCCACAGCTGGAGTGCAGCCGCATGAACAGGGCTCACTGTAGCCCTGACCTCCTGGGTTCAAGCGATCCTTCTGCCTCAACTTTCTGAGTAGCTAGGACTATAGGAGTACACCACCACACGTGGTCAATTAAAAAATTTTTTTTTTGTAGAGACCAGATCTCACTATGCTGCCCAGGTTGGTCTCCAACTCCTGGCCTCAAGTGTTCCTCACACCTTGGCCTCCCAGAGTGCTGGTATTACACATATGAGCCACCACACCTGGCCTGAGAACTTGCTTTATTTGAGTCAAAATTATTTCATCACTTCTTTCCCTTCTCACAGGTTCTAGCTCTTATCTTCTCGTCCCTCTTCCCTGCCACAATATATTCTTTATCTTATGCAAAGCAAGTCAACTTTCAGTTTCCTATTCCCATTACTCTATTTAGCAAACCTAGGACCTTCCTTAGGACCCAGAACCCTCTATTATAAATAGCCCCCAATTTTTTCTCTGTCATAAATTATTCCTTGTTACATTAGCAAAACAGACATTTCAATGTGAATCCTCCCCATTGATAAACTCAAATTAAGAATAGAAAATATAACACTGTAAAACCTTTGCCCTGATGTTAAAAGCCTTTCAGAAGGTTTTTGAAATTTATATTTCCCACTCCATCTCGGTTCCCCTGATACGCTCCAGCTGCATTGAACTGCCAGTGTTCCCAATCAGCTGTGTTCTGTTAAACCTCCACATTTTAGAAAAGCAGGTTTAATTTTTCACGAAATAATTCTTTTTCCAGAATTGAATATATTACTCATTCTCTCCACATCAAGGACCTTAGAGACAAATTCAGAGCATTATATATAGGTTCTCTTAATATCATCTTTAAACAATTTTCAAGGTTGACAGGGAATGTCAGCAAGGCATCTCTCATAAAAAATCCTTAAAATCTCCATTTGTCCATGTCAGAGCCTGAATTGGAAGCAAGGTCAGGATTAGGGTAAAGCAAGGAAGCAGGGTTGTGCAAGTACAGGGTTGTTAAAAAGGAAAAAATTGAAATTGCTTAAGAAAGTCATTGTTTTCGAGTGACAATAGCAGGTATACTCACCTAAGTATACAACATCAAATCTTTCAATGAAAATCTCTATCCCATTTTCCTTGAAAAGAACCATATTGAATACAGTTACAGAACTGAGCTATAATTTGGCTCATGCAGCAATTTTTGATCATTCTTTTCAGGACTTAAAATAGCTCAGTATTCAATTCTATAAGGACCATGTTTCTTTTCCATAGTAGAGTATGAGTAATTTTTAAGGTAGGTGAACATAAAATAACAGTTTGCTAGTTGTAGCACATATGAACAAAATAACCACATGGGTTTTATGGAACATGTTCTAAAAAGATAAAGGTATAATGGAGAGATACCTCATTCAAACAGCTTAACATTATAAATGACGCAAGTGAAGGCCATAGAAGCAAAGTGACATGGTAAAATTAACAAATATAAAAACCTAAGCTGAAAGAGGACGTATGGAGATTTTAAAAATAGTCGTGAAAGACAATAGAGATTGCTCATAATGTGAAGTACAAATAATTCAGGGTTTGAAATAAATCATGTAAAATTTTAAACCTGTCATATTGTTTAAACCATTCCATGTCCTATAGGAATAATGGTAATAACTTGACTATGTACTTTGTAGTGACCTGAAAATAGTATGTTAAGTTTATAAATTGCAAAATAACCATCTCTTTAAAGTGGAACAGCATTCATCAGGGAATCATTCACTTATGAAGAGGTCATCCAGACCTAGAGACAAGCTATTTTCTTTTGGTGAATAGAATATATTGCCATTGCTATTATTTATCTCCTTGTTTTCAGGAATGCTTCACTACTTATTCTCATTATGATAAACTCTATTTCAGGGTTTTGTGTCTGATTTAAAACCCACTTGTATGGGGAGGTTCTATCACTATCCAAATACCTTTGCAGGGCCCAAGGCTATAAATATGAATATATTTATACAAACCAATTTTGTTATAATAGGGCATTGGGCCTACTATAGGCCTTGGGCCCTATGATAACAAAATAGGTATGTTATAGAACTATTATAACAAAATAGGTTTGTATAAATATCTTACAGGACAATTATTTACAATTATAGGAAAATTATTTCTCATCTGTATATCTAATAAAATAGCTGTGTTTTGAAGTTGGAGAACAACCCCATTCTAAAAAGGCACAGAGCCAAAAGGAAAAGAAGCTCGTATTTTACTATATGGAAAAGGTAAAACAAAGTGGTTGAAAAATCCATGTTCTATTTAAAGTCCTCTCATTCCAGAATTATACATTATAACTGATTTTATGTGATTATCAAGTATAAGTTCTCTTGGAAATTTTAGGTTGTAAAAATAGAAAGAGGCAAAGCTGTACTCATTAATAAAATAAAACATTTGATTAGCATATATTGATAAAATAAAATATTCATGATTGTAGTTTATTTTTTGTTGAATTTATTAATAATCTTTATATATATTTATATATGTATGGCTTTGAGCAAAGACAAAAGAAATATTCTAACTCATCCCTGATCATACAGTTATTGTAAGAATCAGCTATTCTATTATCTTCCCAGCAGCAGAAAGACAAATCAATAATACATTTCTTTCTGTACAAATTAAAACTCCATACGTATGGGCTTCACTATGTACAGAGAAAAGAGGTCACTTTTCAACTAGCAATGGACCTTTATATTACAGGAATGTGAGTAATTTTTTTTCCTTAATCTAACTATATATACATTCATACATATATGTATATAATTTACCCTGTACCATTTTATTAGTTTAACATATAAACCTTAGTTTTTTTTGTCCATTCTATTACAAAGTGAATAAAAATTGTATGGTTGCACTGAAAGACCATGCAATTGAATTTTGCTTATGTTTCCCAATAGTGCTCAAAATAAAAAACCAAAAATTTATATATATATATAAAAATATTTCACTACCAAATCCATTAATCCTATCAAATGTAAACCTTTAATAATTTAAAGGACTGATACATAATCTTAATAAATTGAAGTTAATTCTCATATTTTAATAAAATAAAGGAGTTTTGTACTGATATGTAAATGGTCTTGCAGCTTTCCCATAGGTTCTAGGTAGACTGAACAACCCCTTTCTTACAACAGTATTCCTGACATGCCATCATATGTCACCAGCATATTGATCATTACATTACATTGACTAGCATTGTTGATTACTTCCACACAAGTTGGATTTGTTTGAAATTAAACATAACAACTCATTTTGGTATTATAGGTATTATATCCGCAAAAGGCATAACAGGCAGCAAGGATCCACTTTAGAGTTTTTGCTTTTGTTTTTGTTTTCTGTCCTCAAGTCTATCTGCAGGCCCTGCCCCATTTAATGTGTGATCTCTGTACGTTCTTAAATGTATTGCCAGTGTCAGAGATACTGGAGACCTCCACTTTAGGTCATGCTCTTAACTTGGGTTATTTACAGAAGCCGGTTACTGGGAATCTTCCAATTGTGTTCCAGTCATACTCCACATGTGTGGGATACATTAGGCACAAATGATTACTAAGGGAGTTCTTTGAGAAGAAGCAGGTGCTCACAGACCATGGAAAGAGTTAAGAAAACAGACAAACAATGCTCACAGACATTCAACTTTATCCCTGCTTTTCGTCACCATGTCTGTAGTATTTTCAACACATTAAAAATGACAAACCTTTTATATATGGGCTACATTAGTCACCACATGCCATAAGGTTTACTAACCACTTAGTTACAATATACATAGAGCAAAATGTGGGTTCCCAAACAGATGTGATGCTGTATTGAATTTATTTTTTAAAATTAACACCATAGTAAATTACCAGCTACAGTGAAGACACAGACCACACTTAACTCCAAATCAAGCTGTGGTTTACAAATAATTGTTTAAATAATAATAATAGCAATAATATTAAATAAAAGTGAAAACCTCACTTCTAGACTTAAGTCAGAGATCCAAGTCAGCCTTATAGGAATTTTAAGATAGACGATTAATGAATTGTTATGTTTTCTAGAAACAAGAAATACTGTAAGCCTTTCCCTACAATGACTGATCTGAACCTATTTTTTTCCCCCAGAAGCATGCAGGGACTATTTTCAGATGCTTAATTATGGCAAGAAGAAAGAAAAGTAATGATTTTTGGTGTAATACAAGCAATTTGTAGATTCGAGCATACAGTTTTGCATAAAACATTGCAGGTTAAAATAATATTGTAGGTTTCAAGCCATTGCATTACAATTGAATAATTCTCACAATCAGGTTTTGTAAAATTTAAAACTCTAAGTTTTGAAGTGAAGCAATAAAACTAAATTCTTAAACAATGACTTTTACCTTCATACAAGACAGAATAGCTATTTTTATTTGGGTTGAAAAAGTTATTTACAACTAACATTGATCGAGTCTTGGTAAAAGTCCGATAACACATGAAGACAAATATTAATTTTCCCTCAGCTTTCGGAAAGATCAATGAACATGTTTGAGGTTAGTGGTATTCTTAACAGTGGCAATGCTAGTCTCCTACAGTGGCCAAGCAAGTAGTGCATCCTTTAACCTAATTCAAAATTGAAAGCACCGACATACAATTTAGATCTATAAAATGGGATTTGTTATTTAATTCTCCATCATTAATGATTAACAATTTAGATGCAGAGACACAGCTAATGAAAGAAAGTTTGGATTGGTGCTATTTTCTAGCTCGTTTGAGTCGCCTTTTTAAAATCAGTTTTGTTTCCATTGAATCCAAGAACTCTTCATAAAATAGAGAAATATACATATCAAAGGACTTAAGTAAAAGTCGGTTAGAAATAAATAATCTTACACAACATTTTAAATCCTTTAATGATTTAAAGAAAGGAAGACATATAACACTGAATGCTAAACAGGTCTTTTGACCCTCTCTTGGGAATTTAGATATATATTTTGTAATAGATGTATATATATTTTTACATTTCACGTGTAGGCCAGAGCTGTCTAAAATATCTCTTCATAATAGGCTAGAGGGATCTATCAGGAGATAGAATAAAATAAGATCTGAGTATAGTCTCAGTTTATGAGAGTATTTCTTTCTGCTTTGACAATCAGCAGGGATCATAAATTTGAAGCAAATCGTGGCTTTTCTGCGTCTGGGTCTGTGTTTAAGACTGAGGAAGATTCTCTCGGAAGAGCAGCTGCTGGTGGAGGGGGTGCCGGAGGGACTCCTCGGTTCGGGGGGATGGCTCCCGACGACATCTGTCGGAAGAGGGTGACGCGCTGCGGGACAGTGCTCCTGCCACCTGCCTGAAGGCCCGTGCCGGGGACCGCCGTCACGGGTTGAGGAATGGAGGCCAGGGACTCGCCCACAGTGGGATGAGGTCTGGAAATCAGAGTGGACACCTCATGGGGCAGCGAGGGCTGCGAGGCGGAGAGGGGCCTGACTTCCCGGGTCAGGTTGGTGTTGTGAAGCGCCTGTGTGCTCTTGTGCACTTCGTTTTTCGGCGTGGAGCTGCCCGGTGTCTGTGGCTGCGGGGACTGCTGCTGCGGCTGAGTCTGCGGCGCCTGGGACTGCTGTACCTGCTGCTGCGGCTGCTGTTGCATGAGTGACAGCTGGGAGGCCGTGGGGGAGGCATAGTGGAAAGTTCGAGCGGCCAGAGGGCTCTGTACAGGAGGGCTGCAGACCGCGGTGGTGTAGGAGCAGGGCGAGAGGATGGCTGACGGCTGGGGCGTCTGTGTGCTGGGACTGGGGGAATGCAGGTTGCTGTGAGACAGGCTGGTCGCTGTGTACACCGGTGGAGACTGTGTCCTCATGCGGGAGGTCGGGGTCGTAGTTGAGGGTGTAGAATTCAGGGTTGTCATTTGAGGATAATTGATGGGAGCGATTGCCTGCACCATCTCCCTGTCGTGTTTCACAATCTGCTTCAGGATCTCGTTCTCCTGATTGTTGAAAACACCAGTGTTCAGATCCTTCTGGAACTTTTGCAGAAGAATGGAGTTTTTCTTTCCTGTCAGCAAAAGAAAGATAGGCACTTAGAAAGCCTCCCAACGACTGACGACAAGGCCAAGTGAGAGTGACTCCTGCAAGCAGAAGTACAGCTGTGCATCACAGGAGAGGCTTAAAAAGCCAAACACTCACCTGTACACACCACATACCAACATGGCTCCTGCCCTTCACCCTTCCTGTATTTTTGGGGAACTCTTACTTTCTACTCAAGTTGAAAGTCCTGTAATATGGCAAAGCGCCATTTTACAGAAGAAATGGAGATATTTAATATGAGGACCACCTTTAAGAATGGAGGAAGAAAGGGCTTTTGGATTAGGATGGGCTTGGAATCAACATTTGATTTTAAAGTTACTTTTTCCAGAAAAGACTGTGAAGATGAAAAAGAGAACATTTGAGCACTATGTGATAGGCACTCTACAAAAGACCTTAGGTAGAAGATTTTATGTAACCCTCAACCCTGTGAGATAGGTGTGTTCATAATCTCATTTTACCTGAAAGGAGATGAGGACATGAGAAGGGTAAGAAGAATGCCCAAGAAAACAAAGAAAACATGGTTGGCAGGTATCAGGGCTGAGAAAGACCATACACACAAAAAGGTGATTGTGCATCTGTGCATCCTTACTGTGGAAAATGAACCAACTGCATCTGGGTGCTTGCGAGAAACTCAGCCTCCTGGGCCTGACTCCGCTTGCTGAATCAGAAGTTGGATTTTACTAAGATGCCCAGGTGATTCCCAAATGCAAATCTGAGGGGACTATATCAGCTTTGTTTTCCACCCAGTGTTCTACTTCAGCCATTCTCAATCCTAGCTGCATATTTTTCTTATCTCTGGAGCTTTACAAAATACTAACGTCCATTTGTTCCCTACTAATTAAATCTAAATCATCAGACTGGGGTCCGGATTTCAGTAGTTTAAAAACAAATTTCCCTAGGGAATTCTTAAGTGCAACCAAGATTGAGACCTGCTTTATGATCTTTCCTCTTCTGAATGGTTGTTGTGAGGACCAAGAGCATAGTGCATTGCAGGCTTTCAGTTCCTTGTAAGACCTCAATAAAGTTTAGCTCTTCCTGCCATCATATTCTGAGTGATTTGCAATACTAGACAGTCTGGCATAATAAGAATCAATAGTAGATTGGTGAAAGAAGGGGAAAGTAGTGACTTTTCTATGACATCATTGATACAATAATACCCAAGTGAATACAGTAACCAAAAAGTGAATCAATTTGTGATATTACTAAATAAAGTAACAAATTAAAAGTAACAGAGTATATTTTTGAAAACAAATATATGTTGTAATTTCTTTGACAGCTTGGAATACAACCATTTTAAATGACTGACAAAATAGTTTCCTCTCTCTACTTGCAGACTGTCCTAATTTCCCAAAGAACAAAACTACATTATTCCTACATTATTAATAAATAGAAATGTATATTTGCTTAACTAACTGCAGCATACATCTATATGCAATGGCCGCAAAACTGAGCAGCATAATGTTTCTTTCTGATTATGTGACTAGTCAAAATATCTTAATCTAAGTATCTTTAACCTTGGAACAAATAATGTAACTTTTTATATATTCTTACAATTTTATAAAGATCAAAAATTCAATTTCTTAGTGTTTGCTTATTAGAATTTCATTGCCTGTATTGATTACAAACTATTTCATATAAACATTGTTATAAAAATTAACAGCAATAAGTTAGATGAAAGTGAAGCTATATCACATTAACAGAAATTCTCTGGTGAAATATCCTGATTTTACTGTTTTCTCTAATGATGTCTAGCTGGTTTAGAAAAAAAGTAATTGCTTGGAAATTAGTCTCTGCTTCTAACACAGACACACACACACACACACACACACACACACACACTACAAAGAGAAAAGTTATTTTCAAATTAAGTAAGGATGCTTTCAGGAGTGTTTCCTTCTTTTGTGGGTATTATCTCCATGAATGAATAGATCCTGTTAAATCTCTAAGATTTCAATGTGAATTTCTAATATGTTTGTTGTGTCTAATGATAATGTCCAAATACTACCTTTATATCTTCTAATCTATTTTCAGATCTTTATGCAGTCTGTTGTCCTACTAATATAGAGAAAAAGGAAGATGAGAATGTAAAGTGCAGGAAAAAAGCTGATTTTATCAATTTAACAATTTATCAATCTAAAGTCCTTACCTTTAATAAGAATGAAGCAGTTGAGGTACCTCCTTGTTTATCACAAATGATCCCAGCCCCATCTTTTTGAGTTCATTTATTCCTTCCTCCCTTCCTACCTCTCTTCAACAAATATTCATTGTATACTAGGTACTGTGAATGTAATTGTGAATTAAACATGAGTTCTACCTTGACAAAGCTTAGCATCTCTAGAGCCAATATTAAAAGCAGTGCTGTGTTGGGGGAACTTCAGAGGCTATGGGAGAACATATCCAAGGAATTGGGCTTTGTAGGGAGTGGGAGGTCAGAGGTTTATAGAGGTGATGTCAGAAGTGATGTCTAAACAGAGATAGGAAGGTTGAGTAGAGTCAAGCTGGCCGTAAAAAGCAGAGAAGAGGAGGATGGGCAAAGTGGTTTAGGTGTTAAGAATGAATGCATCCTACCTTATAGTATAATATAATGTTCCAAGATATCTAGGAAAGTTAGCAGCAAGCCAATCCAAGCTAACATTACTATGGTAATTATGCAAAACTTCAAACAAGCATAACTAATAAGGTCTAATTTTTGTAAATATATATTTTTATTTGGTAGCAGAAAAGACTTTAAAATATTTTGATGTTCGCAAGGTAAAGCATCTAAGTAGGGCATTTCTAACAAGGCTTTTTTTTTCTGCTTGAGTCTATATTACAAACGTTTTACTCTATCTCTGCTGAGACTAATTTATGTGGTGAGTTTTCAATTCCTAACATAAAGATAAAATATAAAGTTGACTCAAATACAAAAAATGTGAGAGAATGTAGTTTGTAATATAGACTCATCACATTTTTAGTTCTATTTCAATGCTATCTAGAAATTTTATCGTTGCTTTTTACCTGAAGATTCAAATTGTTTTGGCATCACTCAGGAAATCAGTTTGTTTAGCTAGCAAAAATAGACATTAATAAATAAACCCAGAATACTTTGAAGAGATAGATAGGGACCCAGGTCTCTCAAGAAATATGGCTACAGCTAATTGCTATTTCTACACAAATTAACAAGCAAGCTATAAACTGGCATTTGGGACTTTTTTTTTTTTTTTGAAACAAGGTTTCATTCTCTGGCCCAGACGAGAGTGCAGTGGCGCCACCTTGGCTCACTGCAACCTCCGCCTCCCAGCCTCAAGCAATTCTCCTGCCTCAGCCTCCCGAGCAGCTGGGTTTACAGGCATGTGCCACCATGCGCAGATGATTTTTGTATTTTTAGTAGAGACAGTGTTTCACCATGTTGGCCAGGCTAGTCTCAAACTCCTGACCTCAAATTATACACCTGCCTTGGCCTCCCAAAGTGCTGGGGGTACAAGCATAAGCCATCACACCCGACCACATTTGGAACTTATAATTGCAAACTTATGTTATGCCACTAGATTAAAACTAAATTGTATATAAAGAAGATAGAAAACTAGAGTACCTATCCGATCTAGTCGGTCAATGGCAACGGTCTCAAAGGCTCTCCTCATCATTGGATATTCCTCCAGGACCTCATTGAAATTGTCCACAGAAAGTGAGTAAAGACGACAATATGTATCAGCTCGAACACTGGCGGTACGACGTCCTTTGGTTAGCAGGCAAATCTCTATAAAAACAACAAAGAATGACTTGTTTGATCATTTTCTTTTAAATCCTTAATGGCTTTCCACAACTTAAAACAAGTCTCATGGTGTGAAAAACCAATTATTAGCAGCATTTTCTATTTTATCAGCAAATTCCTTCTGACAGTTAAAAGTATCCAACTGCCAATACTCAATCCTAAAATAATGTTCTTAAAAAAAAAAAAAAAAAAACAACTGTTGAGACTTTTGGTTTAAATGGAAGGCTGAAACACAGTATACCATATCCTTCCCACTCCAATTCCCTGAAATAAGAAATAAAAGAAGAACAAAAGAGATGCAGAAAAAGGAATAAAACGTCCATAAAGGAGTTGAAAACAGGAAGTGATGATGATTAGAAAGAAGTTCTTATGAATTCTGGAAGGCAGAAAGCAGATGGTATAAACCAGACAGAAGCCAAAATGAGTCCAAACATTGGCTTAGAAAGCCCTATGATCAAACAAAACTAGACCAGAAATTTAGATATATTATAGGCATGCCTAATGTAGTTTATATATTCGCAATGAGATCAGTATGAAGAACATGATATTCCACACACACAGACTGACTTTCTATTTAAATGACTTTTAAGGGTAATTCCTTGCTGAAATTTAGATTTCCAAAATATGAGTAAACAAAGATTTGCAAATTTGGATTTCACTACTGGCCAGCTGAAGCTATATAGCTATTAAGAGAGAATTTTCCATTTTGTTTTCCAAAAATTATTGTTTGAACTACTATAGACTTTGATTATTTTTAATTTGGAAATAATTTAAACATTTAGCTTCAAAATAACAAATTTGAAAAAAAGAAATGATAGATGTATTTTTACAATTTACATTGACCTAACTAAAGGAAAAATGGTAAATATAATATTAAATGTCTAAATTCACATTTGAGCTAATTTAAAGAAGTTCTACTTATGTTGACAAACACTGTGAGTAAATCACGCTGTAGACACTATGTACTTGACCGATGTTAGAGATAAAAAAGAATAAAAAACATATCCACATTTATAGGACATTCTGATAGCAAAAAAAGCACATTATCTTAATACAAAGTTCATTTGAACACAATCTGGTAAGAACAATGTCACATGTATGCAAACTCTGAGAATACTTAGAAAAGGGCATGTGAACCAACCTGGGAAGACAGAGAGGATTTTAGGAAATGTCGCCTAAAACATCAATTATGCTGTTGTTCATTTCGAGATTGCAGAGTGTGTGTGTTTGTCTGCATGTTTGTGTGCCTGCATTTGTCTGCATGTTTTTCAGCCTGAATGTGTGTGTTGTGTGTATGCATTTGGTGTTTGTGTAGGAAAATAAATCTGTTTGGGTCAATTTTTAAAAAAATTATCATACCAGGAAATTTACCTGCTCCTATAATACAAACAATGTAATGAAAAGACATATTTTGAATACTACTCCAAAGTTAAATTCCTGTGTCACTGAAGTCTAATTCCATATTATTATAATTTATGATTGCCACATTATGGCAAACAAGCTAAGCGTTAGTTCCAAATCTGAACATTACAAGTTATTGTCTAGAATGTTAAGTGAAGGAAGACTTGAGGAGCCACATACTGTGTGATTCCATTCATGTAAAATATCCAGAAAATAAAAATCTGCAGAGACAAATAACACATTAATGGTTGCCTGAGGCAAAAGATGGAAAAGGGAATTAACAGTTAAGTGGGCACAGGAACATTATTGAGGTGATGAAAATGTTCTAAAACCTGAATTGTGGTGATGGTTTCATTGCTTGGTAAATTTACTAAAAGATATTTAAATTGTACACTTTACTTTAAATTGATGAATTATATGTGTAAAATATATTGCATTAAAGCCATACAAGGTGAAAAGAAAAATTAGTTTTGTTTTTTTATCTTTATACTTATTATATATTTATTTGAATTTATTTTCTCTTTTCTGAACTCTGGAATAATTGTTTTATCTCTGTCTCTAGGTCTTTCTCTTGTGTGTTGAATGTTTTCTTTTGGTAATCTACTGATGTCCATTCACATTTAAAGATAAAAACTCAGCCGGGTGTGGTGGCTCATGCCTGGCATCCCAGCACTTTGGGAGGCTAAGGCGGGTGGATCACAAGGTCAAGAGATCGAGACCATCCTGGTCAACATGGTGAAACCCCATCTCTACTAAAAATACAAAAAATTAACTGGGCATGGTGGCACACATCTGTAATCCCAGCTACTTGGGAGGCTGAGGCAGGAGAATTGCCTGAACCCAGGAGGCGGAGGTTGCGGTGAGCCGAGATCATGCCATTGCACTCCAGCCTGGGTAACAAAAGCAAAACTCCATCTCAAAAAAAAAAAGATAAAAACTCTAGTAATGTAAGAGAGTTTGTTTAATTTAGAGTTCTTATTTAGGATACAGGGAACATACCCGAAAGAAATAGGCGAGTAGCTTGTCCTCATATTTCTCTAAATCCAGAATGAGGAGGGCTTTACTCTAGGCCCCTGACATCTCTCTTAACTGGTCTAGTTCTCCTTGTCATTCAATTGCTTTATACAAGAACCACTGTCATTTCCCCCTACCCCAAGATACGTAGTTGGCTACAGACTATTCTGCAACATGGAGGGAGGAATGTTGCATACCTACCAACAGCATAAGTCACCCACTTTTTGTTCTGTCTTCTGTGGTCCTGCTGTCTCTTAACTAAGAGCCTGTTTAGTATTCTTCCAGGATACTTGCTCCCTCCTTGGCTACTGTTCTCTGTACAAGTTCCCTCTGCTTTCCCTTCAAGGTTCATCAGGAACCGCCAGCATACATTTAACTGTAGGCTACAGAATACCAGAGTAGCACTGGTTTATCCAATATATTAATGTCATTATATTGGATATATTGAGAGTAGGCAAGGCCAGCATTGGTTTAGCACCTCAATCATGCCAAGGCACGGTGCCAGCAATACTTCGTTTGCCTTGCCCATCTTCTCATGATCATAAGTTGATGGCAACAACTATACACATTTATATACTCACACAACAGCATCCCAAGTAGGGAGACAGTGAAAGATTTTCTTCCCACATTTCTTTTTTTTTTTTTTTTTTTTGTGAAGACAAAAATTGTACTACAGGTCCTTATGTTACTTTCTCTAGCATTTTATTATCAGAACTGCATCGCATGGCCAGCCTTATTGGGAAGAAGGATTTAAAACTGAGTATTTGTTAAACTGGAATAAGGTAACTACTGTTAGTGATTGAATTAGGTAAATACTGGTTTAATCCCTGAAGTTGTATATGATGCTAGCCATATGAAATTTTATTAACAAAAAAGGGCACTGGTTGCTGGCTAAGGAACCAATGTTATCTGGCATTTCAATCATATCTATTTTCTGTCTTCTAGAAACATGTCCCTCTGTCTCATCTCTTGGTTGCTCCCAAATAAAAATTCATGCATCAGGTTACTTTGTGGTTTGGGTTTGTATTTTATTCTTTTACTATTGTTAATTGGGTCTCTGTAAAGGGAAAAGAAAAAGGCACATCCTTGGAATCATCTTAAATAAGAAATTTACTTTTGTCTTATGCTTAGAAATTACTTGGATTTATTTTTACAAAGAGTATGTGTTTATATGTTACTTTTTATTTTAAAAACAAGTTTAAATATTAGAAATAAGACTATGGCTCTTCAGTATGCACAGTCATTTTAGAGATATGTAGAGATATGTTAAAAACAGATTTATTGCAGGGAAGATATATGTTTATTCATATTTTTTCTAAACCATTATTTACAAATGATTTTCTGGCCTCTATCATCTGATGATCTCATATAATGAATATATATCATATGTAGCATATGTTGCATATGTTACATAGTATAGGTACCCATTACTAAGCAATCATGGCTTGAATCAGTTAAATATTATCATTGGTAAGAAAATAAATTCTTCAAAGAGCATGCTTTTAGATACTGTTTAAGACCTACATGAGGAAATGTGTATATGTGTTATGAGCTCTTAACCCAAAGGTTTTCTATATTGCTATCTCAGTAAAACTTAGATGCTATTCCTCAGCAAATCTTACCTCTTCATTACATTTTGTTTAAAAAGATAATGCACTTATTTTACCTTTTATAATTTGTTGGATCAACACTGATATTCTAATTTGGTCTTTATGCCAGTTAATGATGTAGAGTGCTATTTGGGGCATTTTCTGCAGCAGTAATGCTTGGTTTCCTGCTGATTCAGGCACACACACACACACACACACACACACACACACAGCTGCTTGGGCTATTTTAGGGACTGTTTCTTTAGTGTGGTATTGACCTGGGGATTTGGGGTCCTGTATTAGTCTCAAGTCAACTTGGTCTTGTCTGTGAGGATTAGACACATATTTATATTCTGTGGACTTTATTTATCGGTGAAATGTAAAACTCAGTTATGTCTCTAGAGTTTTAATGTCATTAACTCTGTAACTAACTTAGATTTTATTCAACATTTTACCTCTAAAGTCTCATTAATCTTTATATCTCCAGTGCCTACCTGACAGATAGTAGGTACTTAATGTCAGCTGACTTGAATCATTGAATCAAATAGCAACATGCTTGCCAAAATAAATGATTTAATCACCTACAAAAAATCGCTTTGTATTTAATGTGACATTCCCCTATGTAGAAGCTAAGGGCTAAATATAGACTCACACAACAAAGTCCCTTCAAAAATTATATAAAGCATTTGTTCGTTGCCAACTCAAAAGTCATCAGTCATTACCTTGCTGCATGTTCTTGGTAATTTCTCAGTGAGAAAAAGAACAACTGAAAGTTTATTCATGAGAGGAGAAATAGTCACTGGAAGTATGAAAAACACATAAAATAATCTCTTCTTTTAATGCCTCCATACTCTGTTTCTCTTAAGAAAAACAGAGTTAAGAAATGACATAAATTTAGTCATGAGAAAAGAGTAAACTTTCTGATCAAAGAGGCTTAGATTTCATGCATTTCCAGGTTCAATATGAATAGGGCAGATGCTT